GTGTCTTGGACAGCTAAAGAAACGGTCCTTGGTCTTCAACACAAGGTGCCTTGGATGATAGAAGGAGCCAGTCATTGGTCCTTAACCCAAAGTGTCTACACAGTTGAAGGAACATGTCCTTAGTTCTCAACACAAAGTGTCTTGGATAGTTGAAGGAACGGTCGTTGGTCCTCAACACAAAGTGCCTCGGACGATGGAACGAGCCAGTTTTTTTTCCTTAACACAAATGCCTTGGACAGTTAAAGACACAAGTTCTTGGTCCTTAACACAAAGTATCTTGGACAGTCAAAGAAACAGGTCCTTGGTCCTCAACACAAAATGTTTTGGAGGGTGGAAAGAGAAGGTCATTGGTCCCTAACAAAAAGTGCGTTGGATGGTGAAAAGTGGTAGTCCTTAGTCCTCAACGTGTATGAAGGTTTGCAATTTTAAATTTGTTCATAAGCATATATTTCCTGAACTCATGGAATAATTGCAACATAAAAAATTTAACCTCTACATGAAGAAAATTTTGAACCTCGAAATCCTTTATTTGGTCCAAAAAGTTAAATTCCTAAAAAAATGAAAAATATTAGTTTTGACTTTAATAAAATACCCACTCAAAAAAATGCAAACAAGAATAATAAAATTCATTCCAAAAAAAAAAGACAAATTTTTTTTTTATGGTTTATGCACAAAACGCAGAAACCAATTAATTGGTTTCTGCGCAAAGGCAGAAACCATTCTTGGTTTCTACCATTGCGCATAAAACAAGCGAAAATAATAATAAAAAAAAAGTGAAAAGAGAGAGGAAAACGAGAGAGACGAAAAAAATAATAAAATAACATAAATTATTTGTTTACCTCTGTTTGCAATATCTAACAAACTTGTTCCAAAATCTCATAATGTATTCATATAAATAGGTGAATATTGGACTTCATTTAAGTTCAATTTACCATGAAACATGAAAGGCATGTTCAAATCAAATTTGTTATATGTCTATAAAATAAGTAAATAATCAAAATTTTACCCAAAAAAATATTATTTCTTATTCTCAAATTTGAAGGATAAGAATTTCATCAAATTCATATTTTATTTTTAAAATTTTCATCTGTATTAATTTGCTAATGAGATATTTGAGATCAAACCAAATTAAAAAAAAATCGAAATCAAACAAATCAAAAATAAAATCGAAAGTCAAGATTTATTAATTTATTTATTTCATAATAAATAAATAAATAAATTTTGAGGGAGCATTTGTAAACATAAAAAGAATAAAATAAAATAAATGAATTGGGTTGATTTTAAATCATTAGCCCAATTAAATTAAAGTCTACTAAGGTCCATAAAAACCAAACGCCCATGTTACATTTTAAATATATAAATAAAATAAACAAACAAATAAATAAACAAATCCTAATTACTCAATTATTCATTTTAATTAAATATAATTAGGTAATTACCAAAATTAGCATGGATTTTTCTCTATAAATAAAACCAATGATCCATAAGATAGGGGTACAGAAAGAAGCAAAAAAGAAAACAGAGAACGCCACGAAGTGTTGAAGCAACTTCAAGGCCGGAAGAAAGGAAGAAATTCTTTCAAACCTAAACTCAGTGAATCCCAAGAAGATTAAAATTTTCTTCAAATCAAATAGGTTCACGTCAAGTCCAAAAAGATCAAAGTCTTCTTCAAATCAAATTTAAGTTCGGGCCCCAAAGTTCAAGAACCGAACAAGTCAAGTCTCAACAAATCAAAATTTTAACAAATTCTCGAAGATCAGGATCAAGCCATGTGGCCCCTTATCTTCAAATATTCAGATCATTAATCAGTATATTTTTACAATTTTGCAATTATAAGAAGGTCAACATCACTTTTATTTATCAAAATACAATTTGTAACATTTTTTGTATTTTAATGCACGAAAATTTGTCGTACACAGTTGAAAACATGTTTGTTAGAACTTTGTTACGAGTGTCCAAAAATACATTTTGACCTACTTTGTCGGGAGCATTGTGAGTTTAAACTTTTAAACTAAATCTCGTGTGACATAGAGCATCATTTATTAAATAAGTTTATTGATAAATAATTTAAACTTCACCCCATTCTAACATATTTTTCTGGTTCCGTCCCTAGATACAAGTGATTGATAAGTGAATCATAGGCCACAATGGTAATCACGTGTCTCTTTCTTGACAAAAAGGAATTTATTTTCTAAAAAGTGCACTTCTCTTTCGAGATCTTTAGGGGGATGTATTCAATTGGGACTTTTGAAAATTTTGATGACTTTTTATTTTAAATGACGACTTCTATGAATTTCGTGAATCTTTTATAGATTTGTATGGAATTAATAAAAGTCTTTTGTAAACTTTTATGAAATTTCAATTTAAAATTTTTATGGACTTTTGTAGAATTCAAAAGATTTTTGAAAACTTTCATTTGAAATAGAATTCACGTAGATCTAGTACAATAGTATGAAATTTCTCACATACGAGGTGTCGGTTCCCACAATTCCCCTTTTCCTTTCATTTCTTCCCTAATAATAAAAGAACAAAAGAACAAAAATTTAAGATCTTAATTAAATAAATAATAATCAAAATTATACATATACATGATAAACAATAAACTTAATATTCAATATTATTAATATAATATACTTTTAAAAATAAATAAAAATCAATATATTTAAATTTAATCATAATTTTTTCATAAAAAATTTATAATTTAATAAAAAAATAGATATTTTTCACAAAAAAAATTAATGAAAAAAGAAAAAAAGTTACAGGAATCTAATTTATTTTTTCATAGAAAATAGAGATAAACAATCAGAGAGAGAAAAAAGATAAATGAAAATAAATATAATCAATAGGAAAAAAAATTAATCACACCTCTAATATTCATAAAAGGAAAAATGAAAGAGAGATTGAAAAATTAAAAATTAAAAGTCTCCCAAAATTTGATGATTAATTATATAAGTATTTTCTACTTAAAAATTAGTCCTCCAGAGGCTTTTATAAATGTCTCTAAATGTCATTAAAATTTGAATGCCCTAAAACTTATAGAAACTTCTAAAAAGTTTTAATTGAATACACAGTAACTTTTAGAGACTTTTTAAAAGTCTATAAAAGTCTCAATTGAATATATCGTGACTTTTAGAGACTTTCTAAAAGTTGATAAAGTCTCAATTAAATATATTAATACTTTTAAAGAATCTCAAAAAGTCAACATTTAATATGCCTAAACTTTTTGCAAAAAGTCATTAAAATACCACCCCTTAATCATTTTGTTTAACTCTCCTATCATCATTGATTTTTCCTTGGGGGTTCCATTCGATCAAATAGTTCCTTCATGGGAACTAGCAAAAATCGCAATAATCAAAGAGTACGGTACCTGGAGGTCGAAATCCACTATTGGCCCAAAACAAGAGACAATTATAGATTACTGAATGTATTTTCTATTTCCAAATTTCTAATAAATATCCGTCTTTCCATCTACTAAGTTGAATAATTGTAATGGATTAACAGTCCTAGTGCTTCACGTCAGTGAACTTTACTTGCGTGCATACTCAACTTGGTTAATTTAGTTATGCATGACTCATTTAGTTATTAATTAGAAAAGCAATCTTCAAAACCATCAATTAATTGTATGTCCTTGTTAAAGTTAATTGTGATCAAAGTCAAGTCAACGGTAAGTCCTTTGTGGGTACGATTCTCTATTCATCATTTTATTACTTATTATGATTTTTTATTTTTTATTTTTTCTTTTTGTGATTCAAGTGTCCCAGTTTCATCCGACTAATCCTTAGGAGTGGCAAACTTCCCCCTTGTTCGCCGCCCAAGTAAATTCAAATTCGACCACAACTTATACACAATTAGACCGGACATTTGGAATGCGATTTTCCTCTTTGTAGACCATCTTTTATGAAGTGCGAACAGGACCTCCAGGGATTGTCAAAGGGCATTATAACTTTGCCTCTACAGAACATCTACCTTCCACTTTCCACTTGTTACAAATTTTTGTTAAGCAAAAGATGTTTAAGAAGCAAAAAAAGTGCAGCTTCCCAAGACTGTAACATCTACTGGTCTAAGGAGATAAATATATTCTTGTGGTCTTGCTTTTCTTTAGGCTTTTGGTGCTATTTCACTTCTAAATTATACAATGTTTAGCATAAAATCGTTCGAGGTTATGATATACACTTGCAATATCAACGCATTCGAGGGACTCTCGACGACTCGTTATTTTTGCTTTAGCAGAGTGATATGGAAAACAGCTTTATACTTCTGCTTCAAATAATTCATTTCTCAAAAAAATATAGGCTTGATTATTATGTTGGGGCAGAGATTAATGCACATAGCCTTGATGTCCTAAACTGCTCAATTATAGGTAAGAGTGGTAATGGGCCAATTCGAATTGGCCCGTGAGCCTTCGAATTATATATATATATATATATAGAGCAAGGAAATTTAGCCCATGTTTGGCTCCATTTTCTGAAACTCACTTATCCTCAAACTCATTTTTAACTACGCATTATTCCTATAAAATAATTTTGCACGTAAATCGTGATTTTTCTCTATTTTGTAATCAAACATTTTAAAAAAAAAAGGTGTTTAACAAAATCCATTCTAAAAGAAGAAGAAGAAGAAGAATAATAATAATAATAATAATAATAATCTCTACCAGGCATGAGTTTAATATAACTAGATAAAAAATTAAGGACGGACTTGCGTAAACCACCCTTGCATTTTACTCGTCAAGCTCAACTATACCCGTCGAGCTCGACTAGTTGAAGTCCAATCTTAGCTCAACCCATACTCATGATAGAATGAGATGAGCTGTCTAAAGAAAGCTTTCACAAGGACGACCTGACCCATTACCCCATGTCATTGTCAATTCTTAGAATGGATATCTAACGGCTAATTGTCTTTGATTTACAACAGCATAAAAATTTTCAACAATACAGGCAAATCACTATCATCCCCCACCTCCTCACACAAAAGACAACGGCTATATTGGTAAAGCCAACTACCCATTTCAAATTCGTGTGGAGAAGACAAAAAGGCATACAATTTGAATACCAATTTCCTAGACCTCACCCCCAAGAAGTCCGTTGGGAGCAAAACCGACAACTTCACACGAGAAACTTGCTTCGAAGGGGAAATTTATAATAAAACCACTCTTTGAATCCCACAATTTTCAATAAAATACTTCAAATATGTGCAAATACACGCACATTTTGGTGGTTTCGGACCAAGAAATGGATCAAAAATAGTGTATCTACTTAAATTCTTGGCAGCTCAGAAGAACAGAAGAAGGGCAAAGTGAAAGACAATGTCATGTTCACCAGAGGAACCAAATCAGAACTCCTTATGGTTAAGGAACAAGAAAGCTTTAAACCATATACTCTTTACAATGCGTGTTCGTTCTCTTACCCCCAAAAAACAGACCCAAGATGGGCTTCTCTCTATAAATTCGCAACCCACTTGCAAAATCAAAGATTTTACTCTCACAAATCTTGTTTCTGATAAGACTTCACTTCTTTCTGACGAGATCTTACTGAATATTCTTTCAAAAATTCCGAAGTCTCAAAGGAATTCAATTTTTCTTGTTTCCAAGAGGTGGCTCAATCTTCAAGGAAGGCTTATGAGATCCATAAAACTTCTTGATTGGGATTTCTTGATATCAGGTCGGTTGTTTTTTAGATTCCCTAATCTAATTCATGTTGATTTAGTTAATGGGTGTTTGATTTCGCCACGGAATTCGGGTATTGTGTGCACTCAAAAGATTGTGTCTTTTAATGTCGGTTCTGATATTGGGGGTAGAGACTGGTTTCTTGATGAAAAATTTGTGTTGAATGCTGATGAAATTGATGAGGGTTTGAGGGTTTTGGCTAATGGGTGTCCAAATTTGCGAAAATTGGCTGTGGTTAATACTAGTGAAATGGGGCTTCTGAGTTTGGCAGAGGAGTGCCCTACACTGCAAGAACTGGAGTTGCATATGTGTGATGATCAAGTTTTGCGAGGAATCGCAGCTTGTCAAAATTTACAAATTTTAAGGGTAATTGGAATGGTGGAGGGTTTTTATTCATATTCTTCATTCGTTTCAGATGTTGGATTGACTATATTAGCACAGGGGTGCAAGAGATTAGTAAAACTCGAGTTGAGTGGATGCAAGGGGAGTTATGAGGGAATAAAAGCTATTGGGCAATGCTGTCAAATGCTCGAAGAATTAACTCTTTGTGATCATAGAATGGAGGATGGATGGTTACCAGCTCTTTCGTACTGTGAAAATTTGAAGACTTTGAGGTTTTTGTCATGTAAGAGAATTGATTGTAATCCGGGCTTTGACGAACATATGGGGTCCTGTCCAACTCTTGAGGGCTTGCATTTGGAGAAGTGTCAACTAAGGGACAAGCAAAGCTTGAAAGCATTGTTCAGTGTTTGTCGAGAAGTGAGGGAAATTGTTTTAAAGAATTGCTGGGGGCTTGATGATGATATGTTCAGCACTGCAAGCATTTGCAGGTATTGGCTTCTCTTCTTGCTGTCTTACATTTTTTAGTCAGTACGTGACACCTGAATGCCAAAAGCACTGATGTGTTGCAAATCTTTCAGATGAGCTGCCTTTGATCCCTTAATATGTTTACTTGCTTTTGCACTCACATTGTTGCTATTAGGTGTAGATTAACTGTCCTACATAGTATTAAAAAGGGGTCGTCATGTCCAGTAAGGCATACCAAACATACTTTTAGCGTGTACAATTTTTGCATCTGCCAGAAATTGACTAATTTTCTCAAGTTCAGAATGGTCTGAGATTCTTATGAGAATGTTAACAGTTGAGAAGTGACACAGGCGATGTATATAGATGAATTGCAATTCATTGTACTATTGCTTGTGCATGGTTGATAATTATAAAAAATAATAACCAATTGTAATGACTATGCATGTACTATTGCATTTCTGTCACTTACCATTGCAATGGCATGTACTGCATTCATAGTTGCTAAACTTGGTAAATAAACTCAGTATTTTTACTCGGCCAGGAAGATAGGTGCCAACAGCCAATTTAACTCTTAACGGTCTTGAGATCAACAGATGGAATTTCCTCTATAACCAGCAAAAAAATTGAGAAAACGATATGACTGTCCAAGCTTTAAATCAAGGAAAACTGCGAAACGGAATAAGCATTGTTCTATAGCAGTTCTGATTTAACACTAAGAAATTTTGCTAGTCTAATGGTGTCCTATGCAAATCTTTTTTTACAGGAGACTGAAATTCCTTTCTCTAGAAGGCTGCTCGTTGATTACAACGGTGGGTCTGGAGTCTGCAGTTATTTCCTGGAAGCAGCTTCAGAGCCTCGAAGTGATATCTTGCAACAATGTAAAGGATAGTGAAGCCATGTTTTCTGTTCTTAAAGATTTGAGGTGGAAACCTGATACAAAATCTTCTCTCTCAGCTAGTCTCACGGGAACTGGCATGGCAAACCGGGGTGGTAAGTTTTTTAAAAAGAATGATTGGAAGTCATTACCGGGTGCTTAGAATTTTGGGTTCTTATCTCTGCAGCATATTTTCTTGTACCATTATTATCCTCTTGAACATGAGGAAAATTAACATGGAACTCGACAGAGGAGTATACAACATTCCATCACAAGAAAGATAGGTACGTGTAAATTTTGTAGGAATGTGCGTGTAGCCCCTTTCTGGTGTACTGGGCAAAGAGGCAATTGTTCTTTGATAGTAAGGACGCAGTCTATGACACTTAAATTTATGTTTAACATGTATCAAACCATTACATTATGTAATTGTATCACATGTTCTTATTGTTTATGTTCTACATTAGATAATTGGCATGCAATAATACATGTATCAAACCATTACATTATGTAATTGTATCACATGTTCTTATTGTTTATGTTGTACATTAGATAATTGGCATGCAATAATACGTGATGTTGTAGCCTGTAGGATTAGGCATTTGTAGGAGAAGTTGCGAAACTCTTTGTTAACTGCTTTCCCTAAAGGGGGGAAATAAACAAAGATAAGAAATACTATAGCATCATTTGATAATTTTGATGTTTGCCTAACCATTTACTATGCATTTGGGTCACTTGTTAAAATTTTGAAAAGATGCCTGTAGGATTAGGCATTTGTAGGAGAAGTTGCGAAACTCTTTGTTAACTGCTTTCCCTAAAGGGGGGAAATAAACAAAGATAAGAAATACTATAGCATCATTTGATAATTTTGATGTTTGCCTAACCATTTACTATGCATTTGGGTCACTTGTTAAAATTTTGAAAAGATACTAATGGATAATAGCTTACAGCATATTTGGTACATCGAACTCACACATAATTCATCCATGTGTTTAATGGCTCACACAAAATTTGAGCAGTGTAAAAGAGACGTTATATGTCTGTTTTGATTGAGAAACTCAAGTTATATGCAATTTCAATTAGACATTTTTTTTTTAGTAGAGAGGAGTTATTTTCACAGCAAATGAGCTATTGATGGTGGATTGATCTCAAAATGAAATATTGTTAAGTTGTGAAATCTAATTATTAAATTGTGCTAAGCCAAAACATAGTTCATCCATGTTCTTGCAAATTTCAATTTTATCCTAAATTATCTTGTATAAATAAGACTTTGTCATTAAGATTTTCATATTACCGTCAAGAGAGGTTAGAGCATATAAGGTGTGTGATTTTTCTTTTAAATTTCTTTTTGTCATAGTGAATTACTGCAGGGTAGAAAAATAATATAATCTCATATTATGGTGAATCTTTATAAATTTTATATATCTTTATTTCCTTTTACAAATTGATTGCTCTCAACGTAGAATGAGAATTTCAAATTCTATAATTTTATCTATCTTTATTTCCTTTATGATGAAAGAATCCAAGCACCAAGTCTAGCATCCTCCCATGTATTAAAGTAGAGGAAAATTTCCGACAACCTAAGAAGTGAATCTAAAACTCTTTATGTTTATGATGAAAAAAAAATTGAACTAAATCAATTAAAGGATGATAATGAAAATTCGAAGTACTCTACTTTCAATGATGATCCGTTTATTTGTGATTTTCAATATCATTAAACATTTAAATGTAACTTTCTATATAGATTTACAGGTAAATGATCTCTCAAGTACTGGTATACATCAGTTAATTGGTTTAGCATAAACTAAGTCTGTTCGGTAGTGATTATGAAAATCAATTTTTTCACCCTTAGAAAGAAAAGTGGATCCCAATTGAGAGTGAAGTAATAAAAAATGACAGCTGATTATATTAAATAACGATCAAAAAATTGATTTTTTTAAATGAAAAATCAGAACCAAACGAGGGCTAAGCATTGATGCCTGGGAAATAATTTCTCGAAATTTAAAAACAAAAGGGGGCAGGCGAACTATTAAGAATTAGAACTGCCGAATGAATCTCAAAACTCGAGATCCGATCATTTGTTGAATTAATATAACAATTAAATAAAAAAGATATTATTTATTTATCCACTAAAATAAGCAAAAACGAGTTAAAATTAATATATCCCTACTTAATCCATGTTTTATTGGGTGAGTGAAAACAGAAAGTGATCCATTAAAGAAAATGATTTCATCCCCGTTTTTTGTCTCCATATAATTTCCTCCTCTCCCTTCTGTCCACTAAATATAAAACATGAAATCAATATTTCCAACAAGAGTTATGTAAATTGTAAAAGTTCAAGCCTTGACCTGTTTATAAGAAATAAATTCTCCACCTCTCTAAATAAACGAGAATATCTTTACATAAACACAATGCTGCAGCACAATCCCCTCCTTTTATATTGGCGAAGTTAGTATTACGAGCATAATTGAAAAATACATGTACCAAAGCATTCAAAAACTCTGTTGTCCACATCCAAAAGTGCTAACAAGTATAGAAAAAATTTCAACTTTACAAAGGCTGTAAAAGCCATTAATCATTTTGATCATGCATCATCCTGTTCATCTATGGTTTTCTCAGGCTCCCAATTCTATAAAGGTTGCATCTCTAAGTTGGTATGATCGGTGCCATTAGCAGAGGATGGTACTGAATCCCGACTGTCGCCAGCAGCATTCATCTCTTGGACAGGAGGAGGATTGACAACTGTCATTGGCATCACAGCATCATCTGATAGGCGCCCTTTCATCTCGCGGTGCTCCTGGCACAAGGCACACCAGTGCATGCAGCAATGAACCATGCAGGGATCACACGGCGAGTTCTGCAGGCACAAAGAAATGAAAAAACAGCAATGTACTTAGGTGCTCAACCCAGAATTGACTAAAAACATCCCTCATATATTCCTAAAGGCAAACTGAGATTATTCTTCCTTTTAACCACCATGGCTCCCCTCGAATTTTTTTTCATTAAAAACAATAGCCAATTAGAGAAGAAATCAATTCTAACTAAGGTATAATACATTCAAAGTATAACAGATTATCCTTTTATGTTTAAAAAAATAAAAAATAAATAGTATTAGTACGCCCAAAATAGAGAGAATCCTTGCAATAATGTAATCCAGATTTTGAGATAATAAGATGGTAAATCTAAGCTTGACAACAAACTATTCAGCAGAAACACTTCACATGGACTGTTAAGTCAATCCACATGACCAGACAACTCCATTCAAGAGACTGCTGTATTAAACTAACAAGCTAATTAAAAGGTGTTGCACGTTACTAAATTTAAAAATCAGTTTCACTAGACGATAAATTGGGGACTTCAATACTTGAAACTACGACATTTTTGAAAAGACAAATGCTTGCAGACAAAAGATAATGCACTCTGCACTAATTATTGACATCATATACATAGGAGAAGGAATTGAGATCACCTTGAGATGATATTTCTTCTGCAGCGACTGCCTCACTAGACCAGTGTATATTCCACACATCCACCAACCAAACAACAGACCCTCACATATGAGGAATGTTGTCCTAGGTTCAATCATACCATGTAGTGCTGCTGTCGCAGCAACAACTGCAAGGCCACCCTCAACAAAAATGGCGTGACAAATGCATGGCCCAGTCCAGGGGGTGTCTTCTCTCAGCTGTTCAACATTACGTCCAAACAAGATGCATGGGCAAAGAAGACCAGTCCAACCTATAGTGGAGAAAAAGATATTAAATTTGGGATTTTTAAGCTTCCAAATGTATGTCAGATACTCATACTAGCTGCAGAAATTGAAGAAGTGAAAACAAGCACTTAAAATAGAAACAGAGAAAATTTATGAACCAAATCAATGCCTTAAAACATGTAATAGTGGAAAACATTAAGCTAAACAATATAAAAGATATTCGATTGAGTATATCTTCCAACATCTCCTGCATATCTAACATCTTAATCCATTTTGTGCTCATGTACCAATAAATGGTCTGACCCATAGCCTTTATGATAACTAAAAAGAAACTCTTGAAACATGCAGATACATAAATGAAGCCTTAGATAATATTGTATCAAGTTTTAAAAAGATAGGCTGTGGTTAATTTAATAATGATATCAACTGCCAGTTAGTCATACCAGCATTGCTAGCCTTGCATCTAAGCCAAAAATAATAATTTTAAATATACAACACATTTTCATATTTTGGATAATCAAATCGGAAAAATAGTAATAAAACAACTTTCAACATCATTTAAATAACAATGCGATTGATCAATTATTCACCTCTTTATATGAAACTTCAGATATTTCAATAGTTCTTAAATTGGACAGAAATGGAACTCACAACTTTCTGTATCATCAGTACATCCAAAAATCCCAGTAGTCCAAGGTTCATCCGCAGGAGCTTGATAGCTTTCAGGTAAAGGCTGTCCACATTCATTGCACTTGCGAACATGCAACTGTAGAATGAAGCACAGAACCAAAAACTAAATGAACAGATGTTGAATTTGGGCCAGAGAAAACTCTTGATATACATAAATATATTTCAGTGCAGCCAATTACCTCATATATTAAATCACAATTTAATGAGAATCACAAAAAGTTAAGGAGTCAAAACTTGTGAATGCTGCTATTTGTGGTTTTTGCAAAATTCTAAAACTAGCAAGCTCATTTAAGCATGGTTTAAAAAGGCAGCCTTGAGTCGTAGCACCTGTGCCTCAAGGCACTATGTCAGGTACCTTTTTTTTTTTTTTTTTGTTAGGCAGACCCTCATTCAATGAGGCCCATGCCTCATATCACACGCATCACGGGGCGGGAGGTGTGCACTTCATGTGTTTTCTTGTAATTTGAACTTTTTATTCGTTGTTTTTCAACGTGAATGTGTATTTCAACAATAAAGGGTAAAGGCTTAATTGGCACCATCTCCTCAAATAAAAAACAGAAACTTGGGTTCATCTTCTCAAATAAAAAATAAAAATAAAAATAAAAATTGGGCTCATTATATTTCTCTAAACTAGGGCTGGACAAAACTCCCAAACCAAATCGACCGAACGGAACCCAAACCCGAACCCGAACCGAACCGAGCGATTCTTCTTAAATTAAATGCCCAAACGGGTATCCAAATAAAAATCCGACGAGTTTAGTTCGATTTTCGGTTCTAGATCAAAAATCAAAAAAACGAATAAGAACCGAATCTCTCTAATTTTTTAATTAATTCATTTTAAATAAGCCAAATTATTTTATTTTTCTAACTAAATTTGCTAACTAGTTAATTTAAATCAAACCCAAAAATATGATTTTCCTATTTCTAATTTTCAGTTCAAAGCCAATTTAATCAAATTGACCTAAGTTTTATCCAAATTTGTTACTCTACCGTAGTGCTGTTTCTACCGTTCTGGAGAAATTTAATTAAAACTCGACAACGCTTCTCTTAATTATTTTGAGCTCGCGATCTTCCTCTTTCTGAGATTTTAACAATCAAATCTGTGAAGAACTCAGCAAAGAGAGACGTAAAAGACACATAAAATTAGACTACGTTATTTTGTAAGAGCTAAGATTGAGCATATCATTAGTTAAATTTATGTAACTTCGTAAATATTAAAAAAAATCAATTAAAATACGGAACCTAGGAATCGACTGGAACCGAACTAAGCCGAATGGAACTGAACCCGAAATGTTCCATAATTAAATTTGGATCCGACGATTCCATTTACTAAATACCCGAAGATTTTAGGTTCAGTTCAGTTCTCGTTACTCTAAACAATGAAAAACTAAACCCTTACCCTTGTAGCATACCACACAAGGCAACTTCTTGAACGTAATAGTTTTTCCCTTCTTTATTTTTTCTGTTTTTCGACTCCTCCAAAATTCTCATTTTAATTTTTTTTTTTTGTTCTTGTTGAAGAGTTAAGACAATTTAATATTAGCTACTTGATTAACTTATTTTGTGTTAATTTTATTGAGAGTTATTTAAGATTAACTATTCGTTCTCTATTATATTTATATGTTTATTTATATATTATTTTATAATTTTTGACTAATTTTTTATTTTTTATTTTTGTTTGTTTTGAGGCTTACACCTCTAAATGCCTTTCTTAGTACCTAGTTGCCATTTAAAACATTGCATCCAAGCAACTCATTGACATGTTGACCATATGGCATTTTTCAGATATCATCCATATGTCTTTTCAAAACTTTAATTTTCGGTGTTTAGGTGGTGCAGATTGCTATTAGTTGGTAAAATCCTTTTTTCTCAGACAACCAACCCCAAATTCCCATAATCTATTTCCATCTGACACCGTCCAACAGCTATTTAAGAACCGAAAAAGGGTTAGGCCAAGAATTTTCCCCCATAGCTCCGCAAATTTGTAGACAGAGAGACAAAGGATGGTTAAGGCTTGTCTCTTGTGAGTTGTAGATCAACAAATTTTGGTCTTTCCTTCAGAGTTCCACTTGTTTTGAAATAAGACAGATTAAACTATCAAGTATCAAGCATCAAAACTATTGCTTTCAACAACATACAATGCTAGAAAGTCTGTTCATTCCAACATCATGGATCTTCAATCAAATTCTGCAATCCCAAGTCCACAAGTATTGGAACTGAAGAATAGGCAAAAAATGAAGGTGTAAGCGTGTAAATGATAGAAGAATGAACTTCATTATAGAAATGACTTCGTGCTTTGATCTAGGAGGTAAATTGAGTTGCTTCAAATATTTCCGAACCAAATTAGAGCAGAATAATTCAAATTAAAAAAGAACAAGAGCAGAGCATAACAGGGATCTAACTATTTGTTGACAATAATGAGCATCAGACACTACAAAGACCAGTGTACGACAATTCATAATTTATAAACTATCGAAAAAAATTCAGTATGCTTAATAATCAAGAAAAAAAAAATTCTTTTAGAAGTCAAACACACAATACTAAAAAATGGTCCAAACCCCCATCACAAATCCATGTAACCTCAAAATGTGCATTCCAAACTTGCGAAACTTGAATATAAACTCACACTGAAAGAGAAAACTGAATCCAACGGTCACAAACTGTGCAACCCAATAATGTATTTAGACATGAACTCAAACTCTGACTATAAAAGCGAAATCCCAGCCCTATCAGGGAAACAAGTACACATAGGCATACACAGTTTAGAGTTCAAATCCAGTAAAGTTTAGATCTCTCATTAATTTCTTTGTGAAACCCAATCATCACACACACCATACAGACCATTTTACAATCTGAACAACAGATCGAGAGATCAAAGCTAAAAAGCAGCAAAAGCCAATATATAAAAATATAGAGGGAAAAAAAAAAAACTATACTTGAGGGACATCAATTGGTTGATTCAGCTCGCCAGGTTGAATTTCCTCGAGAGGCGCTTGTTCTTTTGTCAATTTCACATATCTCGACGGATGGATTCTTTCATCCGCCATTCTCTACAGATCTGAAAACCCAAAATTTAACAGCAAAATTCAACACAAACGAAATAGGAATAAAATTTGGCAGAGGTACAGTAAGCGGTGTGAAATCCAATGGTATATGATATAAACATACATATATATGCCGCAGACTTAGCTTAGGCTGATTTTTCAATTTTCATGCCGAATTTCAAGATTTCTTTGGGGATTGGATATTTCCATTTTAAAGAAGACGACTTTTGCAGATCTGTTCGAAACGAACGTTCTTGATTTTGGAGTAAATTTCAATGGAGGGAATCCCAATTTGCAGGTATATTTTATGTTGCCCGTGCAACTTTAATTCCTTTACTTTTTGATCCCCTTGAGTAATATAAGCTTACGGAATCCGTTACCTCGTACTTGTTTCTTTATTTTTGTCAACATAGAAATAAAATTCTTTTTTTTTTTTTTTCAAATTCATTTTCAACCACATTTTCATAATAAAACATCTTGCATATAAATCCAAAACTTTTCACTACTTTTTAACCATATATTCTAAAAAAATCACGATTTTAAAACTCATTTTACTTAAAAAATAAATAAATAAAATAAATCATTTTAATGGTTTTCAAACAAGGCTAGGATTAAAATTTAGATTTTAAGCTAAATCAAAGTCAATAATGAATTTTAACCACATGTTGCATAAAATCCGCAACTTTTCAAATACCTATTTCATCAATTTTATCAAAATTTGTTAAAAATCAAATTTTAATCACTATTAAGTAGAGGTTAAGTAAATTAAGAACTCTAAATTTGTGAGGATAACGTCTAACTCGAGCAGTAACGTCAAACCAACTATATACATATTCTATTAGTTTTGAGCTGTTACTTTTCGCTATAGTTATAGGTAGTAAGGTCAAATATAAAAAGAAATGTAAGTGGAGTGATCAAATTGAAATAAAATACTTTAGATGACCAACATGAAATAATCATGTAAGTTAATGACCTCCAATAAAATTTTCAATCAGTTTAAAAATAAACAATCAGCACCGGTATTTTTTTGTGTGAGTATATTTCATACATGTAGAATTGCACTTTGCTAAGAAATAATGGTTTTTTTTTTTTTTTTTTTTTTGAAGATGATATTTTATTTCTACCTTCCTCCAACCCTTTTCGGATCCAAAAAAATTAATTTTACAAAATATATTCTCGATAATTTTTAATAGGTTAAATAATTTACACGACAGTTTTTCAAAAAATAAAGTGAATTTAATTGCATGAAAAATTCATAGTTGTTCGAGCTCCATTAAAATTTTAATGCATTTTTCTCTCTTATTTTCAATCACAAATTTTTTAATAAAATAATATTACACATAAATATAAAACATTTGTTTCTTTTTTAACTGTACATTCTTCAAAAAAATATTATTTTAAAATATTTTTTCTACAAATTTAATTTTAATGGAGTCCAAACAAGAGATGATCATTATCACATTTATGTACTCAACTTTTATTTTTATCACAGTGTTATTCTCTGTTTAACATAAGTTGTCATTGATTATGATCTTTGTCCAAAAAAATCGTAAAGATAGACTAAAAAGATTTTTATAACATTCTTATTCTCTGTTTATATCTCTTATTGTAAATAAGCCAAAAATAAAAAATATTAAGATTAAAGATTTGCCTCTTATTTTAATTTTTTGTGGACAAAAATCGTGATTAATGACAACATTTACTGATTATTGAAATTTGAAATGTTAAAAGTAAGAATATGATGAATAAAAATGAAGGAAATAAATATGACCATGAATAAAGGTTAATAACATTTAATAGAATTAAAATATAGTGTATTTATAAAATGTTATGGTGTGAATATAAACAATTTTTTAATATTTTATTTAGAATAGTGAAATTACCATTTTTTCCTGATTAATTTTAAATTCGCTAGTCAAATTATTAAAATATATATTTTCCTTAATTGAATTTTGGTCCGAATCTGATCCACATTAGATGAAATTAATGGGAGATAGATTTAGGATCTCAATTCAATAACTCGATCAAGATCCGAATCATATAATCCGTTAACTAAATGAAGCAAATATAGATATAGGTTGACCCGATTCGATTTTTTATAATAATAAGATATATTTTATATATTATTGCATAATTTATTACAAATATTTTTTTTCCCATTTAGAAACTTGTATATATTTTACACAAATGTTCAGATAATAAATAATATTAGGTAATAGTATAAAATTGTTAATCGAAATATTTGGAGAGTTTTTAATTTTTTTATTAATTAAAATAAGATTAAAAAATTAATTTATTTTATAAATTAAAAAAATAAAGGGGCTAACAGTTGGAGTTGCTTTCGTTGTTCCCAATTTCCCATTTCCCACATTAGAGTCTTGATAGAATATCACAGGATTCGCAATCTATGAATAGGTGAGATAAGAATTGGGTAAAAAGCTATTTAGACATTTTAATTATAGGGTTTAGAAGTTGACTAATATAAATTTTTAGTGGAAATTACAAAATTCCAGATCTTTAAAGATCCCAATTCAAAAATCAGGTTCAAAGTTTGATTATTCACATGTCAGGTTTAATAAATTAAATCCAACCAATCCAAATTTCAAACCCTAATCTCTTCACCCATCCATTACAAGACTTTCCCATCCTCTCTCTAGCTGCTCGACGCCAATGAGTAATTAAACTCTGCGACCGACGACGAAGGGAGCCCGACGGCATGGAGAGTACCGACGTAGGCATGGGAGGTGACATAACAGCTCGCGACGTGCAATTTCTTTCTCTTTCCGATCTGCAGGCGGTGGTTTTTGGCTATCTCCACCATCTCTCTCTTCGACGCCGACCATATCGAAGTCGCAACCGACGCTTCGCGCAACTCCAGAGTCGGCACCTCTGCTCGCGGATCTGTAGTTTCGCCTGTAAACACGCAGTGATTCGTGGTCTCGCAGGTCACAGATCGCAGTGACTCTTGGTCTTGTCGGTGTCGACACTGGTGCATTTGCTGGGCTTCTGCGTGGATATAGTGACGGTGATGACATGGGAGGAGGTGAATTTGGCATGGCAGGTTTGGGGATTTTTGTTATGTCGTGGCCCGTGGGTGGTGGTTTGTGTTTTGGTGGTTGTCGTGTGGCTTGGTGATGGTGATGAACGGGGATGGTGGTGGTTCTTGCAACGACAATGGGGTTGGAGATGGTGGAGGTGGCGGGTTTGGGGGTTTTTTTTTTAGATGGTGGTTGTGGTACAATGCAGTGCAGTGTGGTGATGTCTATATTGTTGGCGACGACGGGGTTGGTGGTGGATCTGGTGGCGACGTTGGTGGTGGTTTTTTTGGTGTGTTTGGTGGTGGCAATGGATCTGGTAGCAACTATTTTGTTGGTGGTGGTGTCGTGGTATTGGTGTTGGTGGCGATAGGGCGAGGGTGGTTGCAAGAGACGGTGGTGGTAGTGGAGTTGGTAGTGGTGATTGACTATTTCACTTGTGACTTTCAAATTCGATCATTTGTTATAAAAAAAAGTAATCTGTGACATCAAATTTAAAAATATGTGACCTGTAACTTATAATTTTTCGGATTTGTGACCATCTATGATCTATAGTTTTTCGATCCGTGACCTCGACATATTCTGCAACTTATCAAAATTGCGATTTGTGATCTCGAAAAAATATGTGACCAATTAATTTGATGATATGTGATCGGTAAATAAATTTGTGACTTATAATTGTGAATCCATGACCATTCATCGTATAATATACGTGACTTTATTATTATTATTTTATAAATATTTTTAATTAATTAGTGAAAACCTGATTATTGTATTAATGAAACTTGTAACTGGATTTTGAGTTATGCATACTTAACACCTGATTTGTGAACTCTTCTTCCATATTTCTTCATTTTCGGATTGAATTATTGGATCAGATATTCAATAATATAACAAATCGGATATAAATTTAACAATTAAATATCCAATGAATTATCATACCAAATAATTATTCTTTTTAAATCAGATCGGATCAGATATAAGCAGATCCGATCCATATCCTATCTATCCACAACCCTCATCTCTAAGCATTATATTGAATTTAAAATGCATTTTAAAGAATTTAAGAAGCATCCAATCTTGGATCAAAACAAATCACATATCATTAATCGAGTATAAAAATCTAGTAATTATTGAATAACTCATATATAATAAAGTTCAGATCCATCTGCCATTGAATTTAGTGTAAGGTCCAACAAAATGCTCATACCAAATGAAATGAAATATGAATTTAATGTTCATTGATCCACATTTGAATATTAATTATTTATTTTATCTCTTAGTATCGAGACTATTTTTATATCCTTCTATTTTTTCCATCGATTGGAAAAGTGTCTGTCTAGTATATGCATTTGCAGATTCTTGTAACATAAGAAATCTATAGTGTGTAAAATGTTTCATTAATTTTATCATTAAATCATTATCACAAGATTTGAACCATTTTTGGTTTGGAGATGGAGATATATACGGTTTATAAATTTTTTAAAGTCGGTCAATTAATTGTCAAACAAGAATTTTGTATAACATATATGTTTTTAAAAAAGTAAATATTTTTTTTAAGTGACATTTAAGCACAAATAAAAATGTTTAATTTTTCATTATTTCCCTTTTTAAAGTTATTGATAGTTTGGTGTGTGGAAAAGGAGAGTTTGGGAGTCTAAAAGGTGTAGAAAACTGTTATTTATTTATTTATTTATTTATTTTTGATTTATTTCATTTTTTTTATTTTATTTGATTGGAAGGATGAATGTCTCTTTAGAAAAAATATTTTTAGAATTGTTCATCGAGCAATCTAGAAACGAAAACACAGCATTTTGGTTGCCAAAACCACCAGATCCAACCACCATTAGTCTCGCCTCATTCCTCTCTACAATCTCCAACCAACTACCAACTACCAACTACAAATCAACAGAAAGCAAACAATTCAGCCCAAAAAAAATGTCGTACACCAATTTTCGGTCGGAATCTCCGCCTCCGACGACATCCAAGGTCGCGTAGCACCACCGGTCGATTGCCCACCACAAACCGATCCCAACTATGGCCCCCATTTACCACAAACAACAATTCAACAATTTGAATTAAACCTAGAAACAAACCCGTCGCGAGGCCGTCCAACAGAATCCGAATGTTGCATATTTCGGCGTCGTCTGGTCGACACATGGTTGCGGACCACATGGGTTGAACTACTCTTCACCTGGCGCACCTTGTCCAGCCATGGGTCAGCCCCAATTTCACCCAGAACTTGACGAATTTTGCCAGCCATGGGTCAATTGTTTTGCCCAATTTCGCCCATAACCTTGTCGAATCATGGGTCAAAATTTTGTCCAAATGTGGCTCTACCACTGGATGACGCTGAGGGGGTTTGAGTGATGCTGGGATTTGGTGGTCTAGGTGGTGGAGGTTGTCGGTTTGTGAGGTAGAAGAAGGTGTTGGAAGGGGCAAAAATCTCATTGGCTGGAGAAGAGAAAATGAAGGAAAAAAAAAGAACGTGTTTTCAATTTTCATGTTTTTAGAAACTTTTTTTTTTCAAAATAACAAAAACAACGTGTTTTTAGTAATTTCAAAACAGACACTCAAAACACAAAATTCAAAATGAAATTCAAAACTCAAAACTAAAAACTCAAATACGAAGAGAACAACCCTTATGTTTTACAAAATGGGACCAAACATGGGCTAAGTAATTGGCTATAACTCTCCCTTGTTTGAGCCCCATTCTTGTTATTAAAAAAAAGGAACATTTTTGAATAGTATATTGATGAAAAAAGTGTAGTTGAAAATAAAGAAAAGTCATGAATTTACGTGTAATACTATTTTATTGAAAAATGTGTGATTGAAGTAAGATCAAATAAAAAATTGGGCTCAAACAAGGACAATGTCTTTGTTTGATCCCCATTTTCATTAAAATATATTTTTCAACAATGATTTGACATCATTTTAACTGCACATTTTTCAATAAAATAATATTACACGTAAATCCAAAATTTTTCCTTATTTTTTAACCAAACATTATTCATCATAACACTATTCCATAATGTATTTTTTAAGAAAAATGAGGCTCAAACTACCCCATATCTATTAAGTTTTCCTTGACACTGGCGGTTAATAAAATCACCTGGAGAATAGTGTAATTATAAATTTCGTACACAGAATTGACTGTGTGACAATATATTATACAATATTTTAATTTTTTTTCCTTTTAATGTATTATATAGTACTATCAATCCTTCCTGCGAATCATGTTACATCTATAATAAAATCAATTGACTCTATAAACAATTATCAAAATTCAACGTAAAATTTTGCAAAAGATTTCCATAATAATTAACATTTTCATAATGGTACACACATGAATATAAACCACATGCTATGGCCAATTTCTATACCAACCAGACCATGCGGAAACCAAGCCACTAATTCCAAGTGTAACAGCATGGTTACAAAAGGGATTAGGTTCAATATCAGCCAATGCAATAATCAAATCTGCTAAATTAGCTGCAATAGCCATTAATCTCATCACCCTATCAACCCTAATTTTCTTGATATTTTCCTTTGAATCCTTGGATTCTTCCATTGACTTGGTAATCTTCCTTTCTGTCTTAATCCCCTCTTGAATGAGTATAAAATCAGATATGATGAAAAATATGTAACCAAAGGACTCACCAAATGCTGATATGAAACTCATCCTCTTAGCCAAGTTTGCATCCAAAACACCAATTCTTGACAGCCAAAGAAAGTGGTCAAAGAAGAAGTAGACCATTTCACCGGCGTTTGAAAGCACAGCGAGCAACCGGAAAGTCATGGTGGGGCCCGGATTCCGTCTTATCGCGTTGAAGCCAGTAAGAAACCGTCCACTTCGAAAGGCCTTCCGGCTTAGACCGGCCGCCACTTCCCATTTCTTGGCCCTGGTGGCTACATGGGGGTGTGTTTTATCGACATGCCAATGAACAAGTTTCGATACATACTGAAAAGTTTTGACAAGTTTGTCGATGCCATCTCTCTTTGCTAGAAAGATTACAAGCTTGTCTACTGTGTCATTCATGGTTGAGAGTTGCGGTAGGAAAAAAAATGAGATTATTTGATTAAAATGTGGAGGAACTCAATTGGGATTGCTGAAAGAGTGTGTACTGAGTAAAAAACGGAGGACAGCCACAAAAATTGTTTTTTTGGATAGAACAAAATTGTATACTTGGTTGGACAGTATCCTTTTGTCTTCAGCAGTTTTTATTTGTTGATATTTAAACTATTATCAATTACAAGGCCTTGGTTTTTTTTCTTGGTTCAAACTAGAGAACCATTATTATCTTTGCCAAAAACAATTTAGTCATTTATATTACTTTGTCAATTATATATTTTGAATAAGGATAATACTTCAAGCACTTGGTGTCAGATGAGACTGAATAACTAACAGGTAAGATTGTAATATCAATTTTTTCTTCTTCCAGTTTTGCCATCCCATTTAGAGTTTGTCTACTTGTACACTGTGAGACCCCCTTATGAGGGGTTCTTCTACACCAGGGTGTTACCCTGGTGTACAACTAGAAAAACCTCCCAATTAAGTCATAAGGACATATTCGGTATGAGTACTTAACAATCAACTAATCAATATTTTAACTTTATATTTCTTTCTTGATTTTTTATGTACTATTATGCAATCAACTCATTTAAATAATTTGTAAGAGCACGTGATTGATACACTAAACTAGTCAAAATTGGACATCGATGACAATTGAGAAATTCAATCATGCATCTTCCATAATGAAGTGATAAATAACTTTTAGGGGTGTGTTCAATTTAAACTTTTAGAGATTGAAAAAATTAAGGTATATTAAATTTAGATTTTTTAAGATTCCATAAAACTCTGGGGATTGAGATATTCGATATAAACTTTTATAAACTTTTCAAAAGTACTTAAAGTCATGATGTATTTAATCAAGACGATTAAAAAGTCACGAGTATTCTAAATATAAATAACTTTTATGGAATTTTATAAAAGTTTATGGAGCATTAAATTTAAAACATTAAGTAAAATAATGATAATTAAAAATAAAAAACTCACAATTTGTCTTTCATTCATCCCCACAAGGTTTTGAAAGACTTTAAAACAAAAAGTCTTTGAATATGTATTTTTTGTCCTCTCAATATTTTTTCTTCCATCTTCTCATTCACGAACCCTAGAGCTATGAAAAATTAATTTATTATTGATCATCTACTGATTATTTTTGTTTTTTCCTCTCCTTTTTAATCATTTCTTCCTATTTTTTTACAAAAAAAAAAAAATCAAATCAAATCAAATTGTAATTAAAAAAATTCTACCGTATTTTTCTCTTTTCTTTTTATCCAAATTTTCAATGAAAATGGATGAATTTGAAATTAAATTTTATAATATTTTATAGAAAGACAATTTGGCATATTAACTGTTGGATTTTGATACCCAATGAATCTCGGATTATATTGTAAACGTCAGATTGAATTTTATTTGCATTGACCAATTAGTGAAATTGTTACCAACAACCAAGTCCAAATGCTCGACCTCAAAACAACGTAGACTGCTAGAAGTAGCTTAAGAAATTAATGCTAATTACGGTCTGTATATATTTACTTATTGGATGGTTTTGAATCTTGGTCCATTTAAACCCTTTATTGGTCCAATTAAAGCCTAACATATCCTATATATATGTTGTCTTTGCCTTGACCATTGTGTGTGTGATTTGTGTATGAAAGTGGGAAAAACGTGGCTGCCCTCCTACAGTGAAAATCGATTGCCTTTTATGGAGAGAAAAATTGGTGACTTCATTTTTGTATTTTGAGCTCTTCTCTTGCTTTTTTCCTTTGTTTTTCCCATGTCTTTGAGTTGCCAATCATCACCGTTATCTTATCATTTGTTGATGAGATTGAGAAGCAATTAAGGTGAATATATTGATTGTAGGTTGGAGCCATTTGGATTAATTATTTGGTAAAGAAAAGTAATGTGAAACTGAGCTTGAAAAAATGCCATTTAGAAGATCATTGGAGCTAGCTTTTGAGACAATTGGTATCAGAACTTCAAAGTGGTAGATTTGGCTAAAAAATTTGACCAAAAACTTGATACAAAATCGAACAGAAAACAAAAAAGGACCAGTCCAGTTTTCTTCAATCTGACCGAATCAGTTTTATGTAATGTTGAGCCAATCCAGTGATCGGTTGGTGAAACGGGGGCCACCTCCATTAAGTGCAAGTGGAGGAAATCCTGGAAGTTAGGAACATGACCTACAACGGCGATACGTGGGGGCCATGTACTAAATCTGTTGGCCGCATGGCGGCGCATGAGCAGAAATTTGACAATGGTTTCTTCTGGCAGTATGTTTCTAACGTTATTTCTAAATTTTGCTATTATTAGCTTTCTGTTTCAGGTTATACATTGAAGTCAGGACAATTTTGCCCTTTGAGCGTTTGAAATTTGATCGTGGAGAATAGATTACTGTGACTGCTGGAGACTTAGGACGAATAGTGACGGCTCTAAAGTTGTGAATTCATGTCTCTCGTTATTTACAAACTCAGATTAGTCTGTTATGGTATATTGGCTTATCCCGTTTAAATTTCAGCATTAGCGCGTAATAATAAGATTGGGATTAGTGTACAGGATAACCATTACTTGTACTAAAAATCTAGGAACTACTTGCCATAGTTGAAGTGTTGGTTTTGATTACAAGTTGGTAATTACTTTTATGCTTTAGTTTTTGTTTAGTCACTATGTGATACTACATTGCGTAAGAATTTAAATTATTGTTGACATACCTTGTGTTCCATTGATTATTCTGTTAAAATATCTGGACTTGATCCGTTTAAACATTCTCGGGAATCTAGAATGGTATATAATGTGGCCTTAGAATTACATTGTGTGACCTATTTGTGCGCTTTAGTTTTATTTTTCAAAATGTCTTCACAATTCAAAATTGAAATTTTCAATGAAAAATGAGATTTTTCAATTTGGCAATAAACGATGAAGGAGATTTTGGTTCAAAAAAATGTTTCAAAGTCATATATGGCAATTTTTCTACAAATTTGACAGAAGCACAGAAAGAAAAATATGTTGAACTTGTTTACATTTCAATTATTTTACATCTATTTGACACTATTTTAAGAAAAGGAAAACGTGATTCTATTGAATAACTTTGCAAAAAAGTTGGAGGACTTATATTTGCTTAAATCAACTTCTAATAAATTGTATTTGCTCGAAAGATTTTTCAATTTTAAAATGGGTCCTTCAAATGATTTTGATGACAGTTTGAAGGTTTTTAGCAAACTTATTCAAGACATTGTTAATCATGATGAGAAGGTGTTTGAAACATATAAAGTCATTATCTTGTTTAATTCTATGTTTGACTCATATAAGGAGGTTAAGAATGCGATAAGTATGGTAGGAACCCACTAACACCTAAGATTGTTATTGATTCTCTTAAAAGTAAAGATATGAAAATAAATGCTAAAAAAGAGTATAATGGGCTTGTTGAGTTATATATGATGGAGAGTAGAATAAAGTTTAAGCAAATGAATTTGTGTAAAGCTCAAGATAGCAGTGATTTGAATAGTGACTCGATTAATGAGGGTGGTGAGAAGCAGGGAGAGGGTTGGACAAATCTAGTGATAAGTGGTGTTATAGATGTAGTATGCCTGGACATCTTGTTAGGGATTGTCCCAAGAAAAAAGATAAACAGAAAGGTAAGATTAGAGGTGAGACGAATGTGACTATAGGGACGAGTGATGACCCTAGTGTGGTTTATTGAGAGTAAACCTAGTTATTGCATGTGCATATTTGTGTAATCCTTTCTGCATGTTTGCGATTGCTTAATTCTGTTACATGGTATATAACATTTCAATGTGTTTGATATGTGCATTTACATGAATTTGAGAACAATTCGACTACTTTTTGTAATTATTTTCATGCATAGTGGGTTGGAATGTACTAACAGTAAGTATGTTATGTGTCTTTTGTTAAGGTGTAGTATAGATGTCTAGAGGTATATTGGTGGTATGTACCAGAGATGTAGAATGTGATATTTAGATCACGAGTGGAGATTTGATTAAATGTTGAAATCCTTTATCTATGAAGGCCTTTATCAGGTGGAGCGTGAGATAGACACTTCTATATCTTCTATTAGTTAAGGACCCATTATTCACTTAGGTTCGAAGAAGTGATGTAATGATAGAGAGTTATCCCATGGACTCAGGATCTATTATGATTTATCACTTAGATATGCG